CTTGCAAAGTAGTGGAAGTGTGCTGGGTACGCAAACCTGGAACTTCGAAGCCGGAAGCTGCCCACTGCATCAGCAATGCCTGATCAGACGACCGAGCAAGGCACCACTCAGCAAAGCACAGCCCAATCTCAACTGGTCATCGTGCCTACCACCCTGTGCCAACGAGATCCGCCTTTCTTCAGCGGCACCGAGGACCAAGACGTGGAGGACTGGTTGCAGCTGTTTGAAAAGGTGAGCGCCGCCAACAAATGGGACGACCCCTCGAAATTGGAGTATGTCCCATTTTATCTCAAAGACGTTGCCAGCCTGTGGTTCACAAACCACCGTACTGAATTTATCACTAGGGCCGGTTTTAAGACCACCCTCGCAGCTGTGTTCGATCGCCCCGCAGTGCGCAAGATGCGTGTTGAGCAGCGCCTACGTGGACGTGCACAAAGGCAGGGCGAAAACTTCACCAGCTATATTGAAGATGTAATCGATTTATGTCGGCACTTTAACCCTGAGATGACCGAACATGACAAGATCAGGCATATCTTGAAAGGCATAGACGATGATGCCAATCAAATGTTGCTGGCAAAGGGCCCAAGTACCGTATCCGAACTTGTGACCTTGTGCCAGAGCTTGGAAGAGATTCGGAAACAACGTGCAGCAGTTCGGAGGTCGACGACAGCAGACGACTCTCTCGCTGCCCTGGCCGTCGGTGGTGACACCTCCCTGCTGGAGCAGATAAAAGAATATGTACGCGAAGACATCGCACGACAGATTTTGTGTCTCTCGTATCTGCCGACCACCGAAGCACCAACGAACCGCCTAATGCCGACAATCAGAGAGGCCATTCAGGAGCAGGTCTCCGAGGCGTTGCCATTACCTACGCCTGCCTCTCCACCAACGCCTGTTGCCGCGCCACTGACTTATGCGGCCGTCGCGGCAATGCCTCCGGCTCGTCTGCCATTGTATACGCCACAACCTGTGCGACCGTCCACCGCGCCGTTTCCAGCTACACAGCAGCACGCCGGAAATCCTTGGCGCACTGCTGACAACCGGCCGATATGCTACTTTTGCGGAATTCCAGGTCACGTTGCACGTCTATGTCGTCGGCGCTTCACAGTGAACGCACCAAGATATCATGACTATTCGTTTCGGCCTCCATACCACGCGCCTCACGTACCACCTGAAGTTCACGAACGCGATGCGCAAAGTGCTTCCGGCGCCCGAACATTCGCATCTAGACGTTCTACTTCCCGCTCGCCTTCACCTTCAACAAGTCGTCGTTCTGTATTACCTATGCGTCGATGACCCACCTCCATTGAGACAGAAAACTAACTGCCGCAGCTCCGGAGGCACGAGCTGCGTCATCGTCTGATCGTTTAAGTCCTCGCCTGTCTCCCGCCAATCTTATCGATGTAATCGTCGAAGGTGTACGAACACTCGCACTCATCGATACCGGTGCCGCGATATCTGTGATTAGTCAGACTCTGCCGCTCTCTTCGTAAAGTGACGATGCTTTCTCCCGTAGTTTCTTTGAGCACTTGAGCGCCCAACAAATTGAGCTCGTCGCGGCATGTACAGCAAAAGTGGTTATTCGAGACCTGTTGTACATCATTGAATTTCACGTGTTGGCTTCATGTTCCCACGATGTCATCCTAGGGTGGGATTTCCTATCCCGTCATCACCCCGTCGTGGACTGCGCTCGGGCCGAAGTGGAGCTGTTACCGTTTCGTGATGCGCCTTCTGTTGATGCGGCCGTATCTAGTGTGTCTAACCTTCGCATCGCGACGGACATAGACCTTCCTCCTTTCAGTGCCCAGTTTGTCCCTGCCTGCTGCACTTCACTTTCTGACGCTACCGTCCTATTCACGCCATCTCACATCTTCGGTAGCCACCATCACACATCGCTGCCATTCGCCGTTCTTGCGCTTTGTGAAGACACTACCGGAATATTTATTTCCAATCCGAACTCGTGCCCCCTCAGTATGCGCCGCAACGAGATGCTCGGCCACATTCAGCTTATCGATGAAGGTACTATCGTGCCTGCCGATTTCTTTGACACCAAGCCGAATATAGAGCTGAACGCGTTGGTTCCTCACTTTGCCTCGAACAGTGTGTCGTCCGATGCATTTTATCGTTCTATTGACTGCCGTCTAGCCCCGGCTCAACGAGAGCAGCTTCTTACCCTGTTGCACGAATTCAGGCATTCGTTCGACTTTCCCCAAGCGGTTCTAGGAAGAACGAACGCCGTTGTGCACACAATTGACACAGGAAAGAGTACTCCTTTGCGCCAGCGCCCTTATCGTGTGTCTCCGGCGGAGCGTCGCGTAATTGCAGAACAAGTAGACGACATGCTACAATTGCGCGTACATGCGCGTAATTGCAGAACAAGTAAACGACAGTGGGACCATCTCTCTCGGAGTGCGAAGCGCGAGTGTGTGCACGAGCTGTAGACTGCTGGACTGCTCGAGCATTTCTGTCCGTACCGGCTACCTGCCTACTACCTGGCGTCGCTATTAAACTCCCTTGCACTTTGCGTAATAAACGGTAGAGATTAGCGGCAATAACAGAAACAGCTGCGCCGGTATCCATAAGGGCGAAACTACAATAACCTTCAACAGCTACTGCGACCACGTTAGCAGGAGAGGAGTGAGGGCTTAGACAGTTCGAAAACGGCGCAGTTCTTGCCTCTTGAACTGCGATGCTTAGCTTTCCTGTTCGGAGGGTCCGGGCCGGCAACGCATAGGGGAGGGCGATCGCCGACGAGGAGAGGGTGCGCGGTGCAGCTGGAAGTGAAGGTGGTCAGTAGGTGCATAGCGAGGTGACGATACCGGCCCGTATTGGTCGAAGGGTTGGCAGCCGGGTTGCGACGACCGGGCATAGTTGCCGAACGTCTGAAGTCGACGGCGGCAGTAGCGGGCAACGTGTCCGGGAGTGAAGCAGGCGTAGCAAATCGGTCGGTTATCGGGCATCCTCCAAGGATTGGCGACTGGTGGTGCCACCCAAGATGCAGTATAAGTAGCCGGGTGTGCGGGCTGTGAGAGCGTGGTGTAGGGCGGTTGCGGAAGCCTACGCACAGCGTCCGCATATGTGAGCGGCGCGGCTAAGGGCTGCATCTCTTGCGAACAGGCGACAGGAGGAGCCACAGGCTGCGCTGCATACGTTAGGGGCGCGCCCAAAGGCTGAACGGCTGGCAGATAGGTGACAGGGGCACCTACCGGCTGTGCGACACGCGGCAGTGAACACAACTAGATAGAGGTGGCTCGTAGTGCGCAAGGGGAACAGCTTGTGCAACCTCTTCCAATAAAGCAGTGCAAAGCGGGGCAGGTAGACGGGTGGTGGTCTCCTGAGTAAAGGGCACTAGAGAAAGTTGGCGGGCGACTTCCTCACGAGCGACTTCCTCACGGACGAAGGCTTGGACTTGCTGAAGCAACGGTGAATTGTCAGGCATGATGTCGAAACTGGACAGCGACTCACCACCACGCTGAGGATGCCGAGTAAGAGTGCGTTGCTTCTTCAACTCGTCGTAGCTCTGACACAAGCTGACGACTTCAGAAACTGTGCTCGGATTCATAGCCAAGAGCAGTTGAAATGCGCCATCGTCGATGCCTTTCAGGATGTGTTTGACCTTGTCCGACTCGAGCATGGTGTCATTTGCGCAGTCGACAAAGGTCGATGACATCCTCAATATAGCTAGTAAAATTTTCGCCAGTCTGCTGAGAGCGGTCGCGCAAGCGCTGTTCTGCCCGCTGCTTGCGGACAGCCGGCCGACCGAACACTTCAGCACATGACGTCTTGAAGGCGCTCCATGTGAGGATGTTGTGTTTGTGGTTGTTAAACCACAATTCTGCGACGCCAGTGAGATAAAATATGACGTGGCCCAGCTTGTCGGATTCATTCCACTTATTATTGGCGCTTACCAGCTCGTAGTGCTAGAGCCGGTCTTCCACGTTGGTCTCATCCGCACCGCTGAAGACCTTCGGGTCCCGTAGCCTAGGATGGCCAGGGCAGTTGAACTGGGGCGACGATGCCGATGGGTTGGCGTTGTCAGTCATGATGGGCGGTAGCTTGCAGCTTCGCAGCTCCAGGGTGTAGCGATGGGGATAAACAGCACTCTCCACCAAATGTGAAAAGGTTTATTAGCCGTTAACGACAACGGCACGACAGCGTGAAAACCGTCTAGCAGCGAACCGAAGCACGAGCCGAGAGAGACGGGCAATGGCGATGCTGCTCGCTGCAGGCCCATCTTCGTCTTCACACAAGGAATAAACTGCTTGGCCGTTAAGAGAACGTCTTTCAGGGCAAGTCCATATCTAAAACACTATCGATATAACGACCACTTTTTGCGGTACTCTGAAGTTCGTAATAAACAAATTATTGTATGCAGTCTGCACCACTTATAACATAACCATTAACGGTGCCTGACTACCTAGATATCAGGGGCTTTTCTCACAATCCTATTTGCCATCATACAGAAAGGCCCCATTGGTATTTCAATACAGCTTATAGCTAACAGCTTACAGAGCAACATGTCAATTATAATGCAGCTATACTAACGTTTTCCTGAAAGCGGGAATGTGAGAACACGGTACACCTTAGTTATTTATAGAAAATATTGGCCGCGAGGGGCTCCGCTAGAGAGGCCAGCGCTGCGATTGTTTTGACGTCACAGATAGGATGCGTGCGCTCGCCTTGCTTGCATCGGCCACCATGACTGCACTTGCATCTTTCCCCATGGCTGCACCGGTTCTTAGTCGCAATTTTATGATGAAGATTAGACACGAGAGTGCCACCGGGAGCACCGATTCGTAGTTTGTTTGCCCTTTCAGGGCAGTGTCTCAGAGTCTGGATGATTGATCCCCAAGTGTGTCGGTAAAAAGCAAAAGCTGGACCAAAACAAACTCAACTAAGTACAGCACTTTCACTGTTCTTTGTCACGAGTGGCTAAACCAAAACACGAAAGAAACACATGGGCAAGTTCTGCCGCAGAACAAAGAAGAAGTGAAACAAACCTCGACTCCTCGTGTGGTATAACGACGTAGATTTAACAGCCCCACTTTCACCATCCATGTCATCCTTTTCACGTCTGCATATTCAAACAGACAGAAATCAGGAGAATGCAGCTTGCAAAAAATCCGTTTACGAAAGATATAAAGGTATCAATGAAGATTCAAATGTGTTCGAAAGCTTTCAAATGTGTTCGAAAGCTTTTAAATGTAACATTTAGAGCTAAACTTAAGTCAGAAAATTAACAAAGTGGGTTCAAAGTTATCTCTGAGCACACATAGAAGGGTTCATATCTTTCTTGTTTTCAACAATAGATAGTGATGACCGTTCATTTATGAATAAAAAGCTCATATTTCCACATACATTTTCACATGCTTAAATTGAAAGTGGGTGCCTCGTATGGCATATTCATGCGTGCGTGTTTAGGTGATCTTGAAAGCTGTAATTCATCAAAGTAACACTTCTGTACTCTGAAAGCAACACATCTATACTGAACATTTTTTGTAGATTAATGACATCTTCGTGCCCATTCGACACACCTCTACTTGTTCATCAGATATATTCAGAGTAATCAAAGTTCATCTACGATGTTACGAATATGTGAGTCATGGTGGATCAAACCTTTATATTCTGTAACAGCAGCCAAATGATCTAACCATCAGGCCAGGATCACAACATATTCATCTCATGCCACAGCTTCTCTTTGTAATGTTCGGTGCATGCATCGAGCACCATTTTTTCAATGGTTCTCTTGAGACAACTAGCATTTTAAGCAGCTAGCACTTCTAGGACACTTTGGCTGCACTACTTCTGGGACAGGCCCATGTTCATTATACTGCAGTTTTAGGGATCAGCCCATATGTTGCATAATTACACATTGCAAATGTCTCTTTTATATTTTTCCTTTCTCATTTGTTGTCTATGAGGTAACCACACCTGCCTAGGTCCGAATAGGACCTCCAGTACATGTAAATAAATACATATATTTATACGATTGTACAACTGTTATGAGACTGCAGAGAAATAGTGTACAATCAAAATTCATGCAGATCATATAGGATATGTGCATTCAGATACCCATAATAAAGATATGTGTATGCCGCTTTGACACACGCTAACACAAAGCATTTCAAACATTCATTGTTGGGCTTCTGGTATCACGCAAATCATCGGACAAGGTGGGACTGCTGGCTGCGAGGTCCACAACTGCTTTGCCTGCACACAATGCTGTAGGAGACCTCATGGACGTTGCTGTACTCTAAATGAATACTTAGCTGCTTGGTTTTAGAAAACTGTCTGCAAGAAAATAATGTTTAAATGCTCATGACCATGAACAAGGGTACAAAGTATGCTAAATCGCTGCAATATGAGCGATTGGCATGTGTATTTTCTTCAAATTTACTTTCTTGGCAGCTTTGATTTTCAAGCCATTCAAAGTAATGATTTATAGTTATACAAGTTTCAACTGAAGCTCCTTGTAATTTTGGTGTCTAGAACTGCATGTTATAATTATTGGTGGCTGGATTATGCAATGACCAGGCTACAGAATGTTTTTGCAAGGCCCCATGAAAGTCATATCATGAAGGTTTCATTGCACAGATCACCTTGTCTCAAGAGAGCAAATCATCACTCATGTTCTGTTGCAAACCTTAGCACCAACCAAAAATGATTCAGAGACTCCTAAATGACAGGATTTACCACAAAATGAATAATATGTAAGAAGAACGTTCCAGCTTTGAAACCTTTTATCAACAATACTTCTAACAGGACACAAAAGTACTTGAACTGGATTCATTCAGTGAAGCCCCACACTTGTAAATTGAAACAAGATAATACAGCCGATTCTACTTTGAACTATCCTACTAATATTTATATAGTAGTAGTGAATTTTAACGCTTCAGGACTGCATCACTTTCGAAAGAGTCATGCATTATAAGAGAGAATTAGCGACCAGGAATTGACTACTATGGTGCAGTATCTGGCCACTACCTCCCACATGGATATGCCAATTAACCCTTGGCCCACAGTCCCCAGTGGCTGCGAAAAAACTGACCACCGCGGCAGTCAGATCTGCGACACAGCACAGGGTGATAAGAATCTCTGGGTCTGGACAGGCCGCCATTATAATCTGAACTTGGCAACGTTTAACGTTAGAACCTTATCTAGTGAGGCAAATCTAGCTGTGCTACTCGAGGAACTAGAGGGTGTTAAATTGGATGTAATAGAACTCAGTGAAGTGTGCTATTCGACAAACTAGAGGGTGTTAAATTGGATGTAATAGGACTCAGTGAGGCTAGGAGGACAGATGGGGCCTATATAGGGCTATATAAAGGGCACGTCCTTTGCTATCGTGGCTTGTTTGACAGAAGAGAACAGGGGGTGGGGTTCCTTCATCCACAAAAATATAGCTGATAACATGGAGGAATACAAAAGGGTGGTAGGTATCGTAATTAAATCCATGAGAGATACAAGATGTAGGTGGTCTGGCCTATCACCTACATCCAGCCATGATGACGTATTAGTTGAAAGCTTCTATGAAGACGTGGAATCGGCAAATGAGTAAGGTAAAAATACAGTACACCATACTGATGGGCTGACTTCGATGGCACAGTAGAGAAGCAGACTGAAGACCAGGCAGTAGGGGATCATGGCATTGGTACTAGAAATGCCAGAGGGGAGTTATTAGTAGAATTCACAGAATGCGATAGTTTATGCACCTTGAATATCTTCTACCGAAAGCAAGTGAACTGTGTGGGGGAGCACGAGCGCTCAGCCACCCACTCTCTTTTATGGCAGCGCGACAGCCTAGTTGCCGGGACATGACTGTCCCTTCGAGAGTCAATAAACACTCTTGCGAGGAGATAGAACACCCCCGCGGCCAGCACTCATGATTCCGCCTTTCCTGGCGTGCGGAACAGGTTTCCCCTCCCTCAGGGAGAAAAGGTATTATTCTCGTCATGGAGAGGAAAACCGGGTCAGTGGAAAAAACTAGCGTGAGGACAGCCCCACACTCTCTTGACACCGGACTTGAAAGAAGAAGGTCGAACCTGCAAATTCCCCTTCGAGCCGAGGACAACAACGACCAAGGACCGTCTACCCTTGTTTTTTGTACTATATCCTCACGACATTTGCGCGCTATTGCTAACGCCTAGCAATAAAGTGTCGTTTTGTTGACCTAGCCTGTTTCCTTATTCGCCCGAACCCGTGTAGCTGCAATGAGACGAGCTACGGAAAGGGGACGTTAATCGTGCATGGTACGACTGTGTGCGGCTGGAACATTAGTTAAGCTTCTGTGTCAGCCGTACATAGGACGGCCCCCAACAACCGCAAGTGGACATGGAAGAGCTCTAATGGCGAAAGTAAGAATGAAATAGACTTTATACTGAGTGCACACTCAGGCATCGTGCAGGATGTGGAAGTGCTTGGCAAGGTACGATGCAGAGACCATACAATAGTAAGGTCTCGAGTTAACCTAGAAGAAGGAATGAAAGAAAATGATACGCAAGAAGCCAATCAATGAGCTAGCATTGAGAGAGAAAGTGCACGAGTCAGATTCTCGCTTAGGTACTAGGCTCTCATTGAGGAAATCAGTCTCAGTGTTGACACAATGAATGATAATCTGACGAGTATCATTACGATGTGTGCTGTGGAAGTTGAAGGTACGGTAGTTAGACCGGACTCTAGCGCAGAGATCTTCATTAAAAAACGTCACGGCATGAAAGCCTCAAACACAACATACATATTTGGACTGGCAGATCTTTCAAAGTTGATTAATAAACGTAAGGTATCCCATGTAAGCAGGTATAAGACTGGAAAAATTGAACATGCTCTAAGGAACGGAAGAAGTGTCAAAGCGGTGAAGCAGAAACTTGGGACAGGCAAAAACCAGATGTATGCTCTAAGGGACAAGGAAGGCAAAGCAAAGCAACTAAGTCGATCCCGGATATATCAAACTCGGATATATCAAACTATTGGCTATATTGAACAGTTGAAAAACCCCCTTGAATTTCCTATTCAAAAGTACGGGACCGATTCATCTGTATACTGAACTCCCGCACAGCAGGACAACCGCTATATCGAACACTACACCAAACCGAGGTCCAGAAAATGCATTTTCCTTGCAAATATTGATCTATTTTCAGCCGCGTTCTGATAAGTTCGGATCATTTTCCACGTGCAGGTGATGAAAGGTGGTGTCATTCGATCGCTCTGATCTGCTTCGTTGCGAGGCGCTCGCGAGTGCACCGGTATGTTTGATGCACAATCTGCAAGTCTCATCATGTGGGCATAGTGTTTTTAAAATAAACCAATTGCCAAGAACACCAAATTAAGAATTCAAAGTGGCTTGGCAACCTCATTGCAATGTTCACAGTCCCTTTTTTTGTTAGCGCTCAATGGTATGCGATACTAAAAAGCATGGCCTTTGAGAAGGAGCTGAACTCCCTTATTCGAAAAGCTTCAGTGATATTGAGTATGACTAGAACTTGACAGTGTGCAAGAAGCATGACAAGTTTATGGCCTATTTTCATGTGAGAGAAAGTACGGTTACTTGTAGTTCACATTTTGTCATTCATTATACTGTGAGTAAATCGCTATGTTAGGAGTTGTAATGATTTCCAAGGCCTTTATTTAGGCCTTAAATACGCATATTTTGTATTTCGAGATATTGATATATCGAACTAATTCAACATTCCCCTTTGAGTTCGATATATAAGAGATTGGCTGTACTAATATGAATAGGATAGTTAAAGTAAGGGATGAGTTTTACAGAGAACTGTACAGTAGCCAGGACAACCCCGACCATAGGGTAAGAACTAGCAGTAACCCAGATGGCATCCTATCAGTAATGACAGAAGAGTCAGGAAAGCCTTGGAGGGAATGCAAAAAGACAAAGCTGCTGGTAAGGATCAGGTAACATCAGATCTGTTAAAAGACAGGGGACAGATTGTGTTAGAAAAACTAGCCACCCCGTTTACGAAGCCTCTTCTGACAGGGAGGGTACCATAATCTTGGAAGAATGCTATCATCATCTTAATCCATAAGATAAGAAGGAGACGACAAGGACTTGAAGAACTACAGGCCAATCAGCTTGCTCTCTGTCATATACAAGCTATTTACAAAGGTACTTGCTAACAGAATTAAGACAACAATAGAATTCAACCAACCTAAGGAACAAGCAGGATTTCGAACAGACTACTCAACAATCGACCACACTGATACTATCAATCAGGTGATTGATAGCACGCAACCACTATTCGCCGCGAGATTGAACAGAGTCGCGGCATGGCGGCAACTGGCCGAAACGGCAAAGTGTGGACTGCTCCCTGCGTTGTCTACTAGCCACATCATGTTTGCAGTTTGTCGTGAACATTCACAAAGGGTGACTTGTTCGGATATGTCAGCGCGAGCTTCACTGCTTGTACGTATGCCTGAAATGACGGATGAAAGCATTTTGTCTTGCTCGGCTGGTAATGCACTGCAATAAGATCAGAAATATGCAACTTCCCAGAGCGCTGTGTATTGTCGTTGTACCCTCCATTTACCAGAATCACTTCAGTGTGAGTATGGTTTTCTGCTTCAAGCATATCGTAAAATGCACTTGGAATCATTTCAAGCACGAATACTATTAAATTGTGAGTGAACGCAGCGTTTGAGCGATTTGGTTGTAAACAAAAACGAGGGTATATAGGCCATGCACTGGCACCTTGTTGTTAAGTTTATAAATACAGCACTGTATATATAGTTTATCGACTATGTGATGAGCTTTATTTATGTTTATCTGGCCATAATACTACTACAGAAAGGTAATTCTATCAAGTCAAGTGTGACACTTCGGTACTTGAACTCCTCTTGAAACGGAGTTGCTGCAGTGTGATTTTTCAACTTGGGATGAAACTTACGCAGCGAAATTTACACTGATACACTGCTTAGATTTGAAAATGTGTTGAATAACCGAGATGTTCAAAATTATTTCAGACAACATGCCTTACATTACTGTTGTACATTTTCACAGAAAATGTCATCTTTTTTTCACACTGTCTAGAGGGTTTGTGTGGCCTTGTTATTGACTGGCAGAACGCAACGGTCATTGCGCGTGGTGCATGTGGCCCGCGCAGAAGCCGTATTTCAGGGTCACAACTATTGAATGGTAGGCGCCGTTGTGTTCGTGAGCGTTGATCACCACTATCATCATCATCGTCAGATCAGAAGCACAGGCGGTGACCCCTGGGGGCAGGCCTTGGTGGCAGCCCGAGTTGATTGAGGGTTGAGGGAGCCTTTTTTGGGGGGGGGGGGGGGGGGGCACGTTTGGCACGAATGGAATGGTTGTGTCTCGCGTGGGTCCCCAGTGCACGGCATTGCGAGCCATCTGCCGGGGGCCCTCGTGGTGAGTCAAGCATTGGCGACGCCGCCTTGGGTGTGTTATCCTGTTTATGATGTTGAGTGTTGCATAAACTTTGTGTAAGGCTATTATAGCGTGCTGATCACAATTGCTGTTGTAATGATCCGACTGACGATATCATCAATTTAAAAGCATTTAAATAAATGTATGTTGGTCGGTTTGGTGCGACCGTGTCAACTGTGTCCATCCGTGTTCCAAGAGCGTGGCGCTCTCCACATCGAGACCCCACAATGGCTGCCCAACGTGGAGCTCTTGAAGCATCGGATGACAGTTCTGGCGATTCGGAACAGCCATTTTTTGAGCTGTGGAAGAGTAGGCCCAGGGTAACTAGGGAAACTTCCATTGCTAGCGTCGGCAATGTGCTTTGTTGAGAGTCAGGAGATTGGTTGTTGTAACGTGTTTGAACTTGTCGGCACATTGATGTTTTTTTTTTCTGCTCGCATGTTTTTTTTTGTTGTTGTTGTTAGTGTTAGTTCAAGAACGTTGTTCTGGTGGTACGAGAGCCATGCGGTTTGGCATCCTGGGGTGAGCAAAGCACATGTTTCGTGCAGAAGCCGTGTTTCGGGGTCACAACTATTGAACAGTAGGCGCTGTTGTGTTGGCGAGCGTTGATCACTACTATCATCCTCATGGTTAGATCGGGAGCGCCGGCAGTGACCCCAGGCTGCAGGCCTTGGTGGCAGCACGAGTTGATTAAGCGAGCCTTTTCTGCGGGTCGCATTTGGTGCGAACGGTTACCTCTCGCGTGAGTCCCTGGTGCATGACACCACGGGCCATCTGGCGGGGCCTTTGTGGTGAGTCAAGCATTGGCGACGAAGCCTTGGGTGTGTTGTAAGGCTGTTATAGCATGTTGATCTCAATTGATGTTATAATAACTCAGCTGGCGATATCCTTGATTTAAAAGCAGTTAAATAAATGTGTGTTGCTCGTTGTGGTCCGACCGTGTCTGCTGTGTCCGTCCGTGTTCCAAGAGTGTGGCGCTCTCCGCATCGAGACCCTACACGTTGCATGGGCTTCGTGTGTCGATTCAGCAGAGAGCAACATAAATATTACTAGTAAGCTTCAGTCAACGCATTTCATTTGCCAACAATCGGCTCAAACCGCAGGCAGTGAAGCGCTGCTGCCCGTGTTTGTATACACGTCATTGACAGCCTATCCACATATTCCATGGGGACGGTGTTGCCACCTATAGCCTAATCTCGTTGCGAATAGTACATAGTCTTCCTATATTACAAGAAGGCACTTGATTCAGCAGAGATATCAGGAGTCATGTAGACACTGCGGAGTCAGGACGCCAACGAAGCATATATAAACATCCTGGAAGAAATCTAAAGAGGATCAACTGCCACCACAGCGCTTCATAAAAAAAGCAACAAAATACCAATAAAGAACGGTGTCACACAAGGGGATAAGACCTCTTCAATGCTATTTACCGCGTGCTTACAGGAGGTTTTCAGAGACCTAGAATGGGAAGAGTAAGAGATAAGAGTTAATGGAAAGTACCTTGGTAACATACGCTTCGCCGATGACATTGCTTTGCTGAGTCATTCGGGGGAGGAATTGCGATTCATTTCTCAATTAGACAGGGAGAGCAGAAAGGTACGTCTTAAAATTAGCCTGCAGAAAACGAAAGTAATGTAGAACAACCTTGGACGAGAAATGCGCCTCGAGACAGGTACCACTGCACTTGAAGTTGTAAAAGAGTACGCCTACTTAGGACAGGTGGTAACCGCGGAGCCGAACTATGAGATTGAAGTAGTTCGACGAATAAGAATGGGGTGGAGCACATTTGGCAAGCATTCTGAAATTCTGACTGATACATTGGCACTATTTCTCAAGAGGAAGGCATATAACAGCTGCCACTTGCCAGTACTTATACCTAAGGAGCAGAAACATGGAGGCTTACAAAGAGGGTTCAGTTAAAGTTGAGGACGACACAGCGAGCGATGGAAAGGAAAATGATAGGGGTAACCTTAAAGACAAGAAGAGAGCACAGTGGCTCAGGGAACAAACCGGAGTTCAAGATATCATAGTTAAAATCAAGAAGAAATGAATAGGGGCCAGGAACGTAGGAAATAGGCAGGATAACAACTGGTCAATGAGGGTAACTGACTGGATTCCCAAGGAAAACATGTGGGTGAGGGGGAGACAGAAAGTTAGGTGGGCAGATGATATTAGGAAGCTTGCGGGTATGAAGTGGCAGCTGCAAGCACAGGACAGAGTTGACTGGCGGAACATGGGAGAGGCTCCTGTCCTGTAGTACAGCAGTAGGCGTAGTCAGTAGAAAATAGGCAGGATAACAATTGGTCAATGAGGGTAATTGACTGGATTCCCAAAGAAGGCATGCGGGTGAGAGGGAGACAGAAAGTTAGGTGGGCAGATGAGATTAGAAAGCTTGCGGGTATAAAGTGGCAGCAGCAAGCACAGGACCGAGTTGACTGGCAGAACATGGGAGAGGCTCCTGTCCTGCAGTAGGCATAGTCAGGCTTATGATGATGCTGGTGATGCATTGTAGAAAGCATTTTCTGTTTATGACTTTACTGTCCTCAGTCATACTCAAGCAAGGGAAGTACCAATTATCAAAATAATACTTTGTTCAACCATGTAAGTATGGTCTATCAGTCAAGTAGTAAAACAGGCAGGAAAAGAATCAACACACCCTTCTTTCAATTGAGCAGTTGGCTCTCCGATATCTGCAGCTTCAACGTCCTCATCAGTTGAATCGGATGTGCTTTTCTCTGAGACCACGTCGTCGACAAAAGGAATGGCACTGTCACTCTGAAAGAGAAAAATATATTGGCCTATGCTTGCAGGCTTATATAACGAGAGGCAAATATCGGCACAATACTAAATAAAAACTTTTGCAAGAACGAACATTTGATCACAAATCTCACGCAACAGAATATAAACACAGGTTGTACAGTTGAAAGCAAATGGTATGATGTACAGCCATCCATCTGTAGTGGGGAATTCGTAAGGCAATAACTAGTGGGATCATCGCTGAGTGCGAAGCGCGAGCGGGTGCACGAGCTGTAGACGCTGGACTGCCCGAGCATTTGTTTCCGTACCGGCTGTCTGCCTATTACCTGGCGTCGCTATTAAACCCCCTTGCAAAGTGGTGGAGGTGCTGGGTACACAAACCTGGAACTTCGAAGCCGGAAGCTGCCCACTGCATCAGCAATGCCTGATCAGACGACCGAGCAAGGCACCACCCAGCAAAGCACGGCCCAATCTCAACTGGTCATCGTGCCTACCACCCTGTGCCAACGAGATCCACCTTTCTTCAGCGGCACCGAGGACCAAGACGTGGAGGACTGGTTGCAGCTGTTTGAAAAGGTGAGCGCCGCCAACAAATGGGACGACCCCTCGAAATTGGAGTATGTCCCATTTTATCTCAAAGACGTTGCCAGCCTGTGGTTCACAAACCACCGTACTGAATTTATCACTAGCGCCGGTTTTAAGACCACCCTCGCAGCTGTGTTCGATCGCCCCGCAGTGCGCAAGCTGCGTGTTGAGCAGCGCCTACGTGGACGTGCACAAAGGCAGGGCGAAAACTTCACCAGCTATATTGAAGATGTAATCGATTTATGTCGGCACTTTAACCCTGAGATGACCGAACATGACAAGATCAGGCATATCTTGAAAGGCATAGACGATGATGCCTATCAAATGTTGCTGGCAAAGGGCCCAAGTACCGTATCCGAACTTGTGACCTTGTGCCAGAGCTTGGAAGAGATTCGGAAACAACGTGCAGCAGTTCGGAGGTCGACGACAGCAGACGACTCTCTCGCTGCCCTGGCCGTCGGTGGTGACACCTCCCTGCTGGAGCAGATAAAAGAATATGTACGCGAAGACATCGCACGACAGATTTTGTGTCTCTCGTATCTGCCGACCACCAAAGCACCAACGAACCGCCTAACGCCGACAATCAGACAGGCTATTCAGGAGCAGGTCTCCGAGGCGTTGCCATTACCTACGCCTGCCTCTCCACCAACGCCTGTTGCCGCGCTACTGACTTATGCGGCCGTCGCGGCAATGCCTCCATCTCGTCTGCCATTGTATACGCCACAACCTGTGCGACCGTCCACCGCGCCGTTTCCAGCTACACAGCAGCACGCCGGAAATCCTTGGCGCACTGCTGACAACCGGCCGATATGCTACTTTTGCGGAATTCCAGGTCACGTTGCACGTCTATGTCGTCGGCGCTTCACAGTTAACGCACCAAGATATCCTGACTATTCGTTTCGGCCTCCATACCACGCGCCTCACGTACCACCTGAAGTTCACGAACGCGATGCGCAAACTGCTTCCGGCGCCCGAACATTCGCTTCTAGACGTTCTACATCCCGCTCGCCTTCACCTTCAACAAGTCGTCGTTCTGTATTACCTATGCGTCGATGACCCACCTCCATTGAGACAGAAAACTAACTGCCCCAGCTCCGGAGGCACGAGCTGCGTCATCGTCTGATCGTTTAAGTCCTCGCCTGTCTCCCGCCAATCTTATCGATGTAATCGTCGAAGGTGTACGAACACTCGCACTCATCGATACCGGTGCCGCGATATCTGTGATTAGTCAAAGACTCTGCCGCTCTCTTCATAAAGTGACGATGCTTTCTCCCGTGGTTTCTCTTAGTACTGCGAGCGCCCAACAAATTGAGCCCGTCGCGGCGTGTACAGCAAAAGTGGTTATTCGAGACGTGTTGTACACCATTGAATTTCACGTGTTGGCTTCATGTTCCCACGATGTCATCCTAGGATGGGATTTCTTATCACGTCATCACGCCGTCGTGGACTGCGCTCGGGCCGAAGTGGAGCTGTTACCGTTTCGTGATGCGCCTTCTGTTGATGCGGCCGTATCTAGTGTGGCTAACCTTGTCGTCGCGACGGACATAGACCTTCTTCCTTTCAGCGCCCAGTTTGTCCCTGCCTGCTGTGCTTCACTTTCTGACGCTACCGTCCTATTCAGGCCATCTGACATCTTCGGTAGCCGCCACCACACATCACTGCCATTCGCCGTTCTTGAGCTTTGTCAAGGCACTACCAGGATATTTATTTCCAATCCTAACTCGTGCCCCCTCAGTTTGCGCCGCAATGAGACGCTCGGCCACATTCAGCTTATCGATGAAGGTACTGTCGTGCCTGCCAATTTCTTCGACACCAAGCAAAATATGGAGCTGAACGCGTTGGTTCCTCACTTTGCCTCGAACAGCGTGTCTAGCCGATGCATTTCACTGTTCTATTGACAGCCATCTCACCCTGGCTCAACGAGAGCAGCTTGTTACCCTGTTGCACGAATTCAAGCGTTCGTTTGACTTTCCCCAAGCGGTGCTAGGAAGAAACGAACACCGTTGTGCACACAATTGACACAGGAAAGAGTACTCCCTTGCGCCAGCGCCCTTATCGTGTGTCACCAGCGGAGCGTCGGGTAATTGCAAAAGCAAGTAGACGACATGCTACAGCGTGGAGTCATCAAGCCTTCTTGTAGTCCTTGGTCTTCCCCAGTTGTACTCGTCAAAAAAAAAAAGGATGGTTCAATGCGGTTCTGCGTAGACTACAGGTGCCTAAACAACACTACGAGGAAAGATGTTTACCCTCTTCCCCGCATAGACGACGCTCTCGATTGTCTCCAAGGTGCAGAATTCCTTTCCTCGCTTGACCTTCGCTCGGGTTATTGGCAGGTCCCAATGGCTGAGTCTGATCGTCCAAAAATGGCGTTTGTCACACCAGATGGCCTCTATGAATTTACCGCAATGTCCATTCGGACTCTGCAACGCGCCTGCCACATTCGAGCGAATGATGGACAGCATTTTACGCGGTCTCAAATGGAACATATGCTTGTGCTGTCTTGATGACGTTGTGGTTTTTTCACCCAATTTCACTTTGCATCTCACTCGTCTGCGTAAGATTCTACAGTGCCTTACAAACGCCAGGCTTCAGCTTAACCTGAAGAAGTGTCACTTCGTGGCTAAACAACTCACCATACTTGGTCATGTCGTCTCGAAAGCCGGCATCCTTCTTGACCCTGACAAGCTTCATGCTGTTGCCGAATTTCCTAAGCCAACTACAGTTAAAGAACTACGGAGCTTTGTGGGCCTGTGCTCCTATTTTCGTCGGTTTGTCCGGAACTTTGCCTTCATCATCGCTCCACTCACCTAACTCCTTGCTGGCCCTGCAGATCTTTCGAATTAGACAGCAGCCTGTGACGAATCCTTCGCAACACTGCGCCAACTCCTTACCTCACCACCCATACTGCGCCATTACGACCCTACTGCGCCAACCGAAGTGTACACGGATGGAAGTGGCGTCGGCCTTGGTGCAGTACTCGCGCAACGCAAGCCAGGTTTTACGGAGTATGTGGTCGCCTATGCCAGCCGCGCCCTCACTAAGGCAGAAGCCAACTATTCTGTTACGGAAAAAAGAGTGCCTCGCGATTTTGTGGGCGTTAAACAAGTTTCGCCCCTATTTGTACGGCCAAACTTTTGATGTGGTAACTGACCATCACGCACTCTGGTGGTTGGCTTCACTGAAAGATCCTTCCGGCCGCCTCGGACGTTGGGCACTACGCCTCCAGGAATTCGACATATGCGTCGTCTACCGATCGGGGCGAAAGCACTCTGACGCAGATGCGCTTTCAGGATCACCCGTGAAATCTGATGATACGGATATATCAGCCCTGGACCTTCCCCTCTCTGCCGTCAGCGTCACAGACATGCCATCCGAACAGCGGAAAGACCCTTGGATTGCCTCGCTCTTGAATATGCTTTCTGACGCATCAACTTCCGGTTACCCGCGTGCTCTTCGCCGCCAAGCAACGCATTTCGCCATACGGAATGGCCTGTTATACCGTCGCAACTATTAAGTGGCTGGCCGTAAATGGCTGCTAGTTATACCCAGCCATATGCGGTCTAATATCTGCAAATATTTTCATGCTGAAGCGCAACACGCACACGCCGGTGTGCTAAAGACGTATGAGCGGATTCGCCAATGTTACTACTGGCGGGGTATGTACACGTTTGTACGCAAACACATTCGCTCATGTTCCCAGTGTCAGCAGCGCAAGACATTCCCACATTCACCCGGTCAACTGCAGCCTTTGCCATGACCTGCACGCCCATTTGATCGTGTTGGGATTGACCTATACGGCCCGCTACCGTGCTCTGTTGGTGGTAATCGATGGGTGATTGTGGCTGCCGACCATCTGACAAGGTACGCCGAAACGGCAGCGCTACCTTCGGCTGGCGCTCGTGACGTTGCAACCTTCACCTTGCACCGGTTTGTTCTTCGTCATGGTGCACCACGGGAGCTCCTGAGTGACAGAGGACGCGTATTTTTGTCAGAAGTTCTGCAGCAGCTCCTACATTCATGCCGTACAGTACACCGCACATCAACAGCTTACCACCCTCAGACGAACGGCCTAACGGAACGTTTCAACAGAACCCTTGGAGACATGCTTGCTATCTATATTGATTCCGACCACTCCAACTGGGACATTGTTCTTCCTTTCGTGACGTAAGACGTACGCCTACAATACGGCGATTCAATCAACAACAGGCTTTTCTCCATTTTTTCTTTTATATGGTCGTGACCCATGCAACACACTCGACACAATTCTGCCATACAATCCTGATGCCTCCGAGTTCAGCCCAGTTTCTGAAATGGCCGAACATGCCGGAGAGTGTCGTCAGCTTGCACGGTCCTTCGCAGCCGATAACCAAGCCATCCAAAAAGATCGCCACGACCATGATCTTGTTCAGAATACCTTTCCCGTCGGTTCTCTCGTGTGGCTCTGACTGCCTTTCCACTCTCCTGGACTGACTCCCAAGTTTGCACCGAAGTATACGGGCCCTTACCACGTCATACAGCACCCTTCTTCTGTCACCTATGTGATTGAACCGCTCAATCCGTCCACGGACAAGTGCCGCCTTGGTCATGAGATGGTCCACGTCAGTCGCCTCAAGCCCTGTTACGACCCTCCTGTTCTCTCGTCACCTTGAGTCGCCAGGATGGCTCATCTTCGTCGCCGGGGCATTGTAGTGGGGAATTCGCAAGGAAATAACTAGTGGAACCATCGCTGAGTGCGAAGCGCGAGCGGGTGCACGAGCTGTAGACGCTGGACTGCCCGAGCATTTGTTTCCGTACCAGGCTGTCTGCCTATTACCTGGCGTCGCTATTAAACCCCCTTGCACATGTATTTTTTTACCTGAACGTGCGAGCGTCAACCGTTAAGTTGATAAGTGCGAAGCACACCGGCCAAATGAATGAGAATGCACGCATATGCTTCACGAACAATTATGTGCAACAGTCTCTCTGCTGGGCTGTTCTGAGAACTGAACACCGCCCGCCCCCCTCTCTTTCATTGAGCACCGTTACTTACACCCTTTTTTTTTCTTTTGTGAACGCTGCCATCCAGTTAAAAAAAGAGACAATTTCATTAGAATTATGAAGCGATAAATGAGATAGCAACAAATTGTAAGGCTGGCACCTAACTCTTTTAGATCAGATATCGCGCAACTCTACAAAACCTGTTTACAGCTGTGCCAAAGAGAGATCATCTTCTCACAGTCTTTTCGCATGAGTGCGCATCACGTAAAAGGTTTCATAAGTCATTCGTGTTGATGCCTTTCGTAATTGCACATGTCTAGCGATTGTGAGCATGCCCTACGAATATAGGTTCATAGCTGCTCCTGGAGCAATCGCAGCCTTTACGAAATTGAAACTATAATCGTTTTTATGAAACCAAAAATAATGAACTACACAAGTTCATTTTGAATCACTTCAGGAGACCCAACTACATTGTGTGATAAGAATTCAAGAGTGTAGTGGCAGATCCTAGCTTCGAGTGCGCAAGTTTGATACAGGAGCATTTCGAGGAAAGGTGGGGCTTTATTGAAGTTACGTTGTATGCATTCTAATTCACGGTTAGTGCCGTTACTGGTCATATTAAATCATTTTTCCCCATTACATAGTAAATGATAGCAGTATCCAAAAATTTATATGACAAAATATGGTTGAGTTTGATGCTACCTAGTATGTACGTTTAAGAGCTTTTGTACTGCCAAGAGATTCTCATTAGTTTGCACTTGTAGCTACAATACCTAGATACACTTACATTTTATATTTGTCTAAAACGTATGCTGATATCGTTATTGATGCTTTGATTTTCAGAAAAGACCATCATGTTTCTTTTATCACGCGAATACAAACCAACTACCTCAACATTTCGCCATTGCTTAAAAAATATGCATCCCTTCTTGGAGCATCTGTTACAATGTACAGACACAGCAAAATAAACTAAGTATGAAGGTAGCACAAGCAGTATAAAATATGAAGGTACTAGCAAAAGTAGCACAAAAGTATGAAGTATGAAGGTAGTGGTACGAAGGTACCAAATACCCTACCTCTTCCTCATCGCCATCATTGAGAAAATCCCTGGCAGTAACCCTGTCATCACTAAGCTCAAGCAGCAGAGGGTGCGTGGAAATGTTCTGCAGGGTGAAGTAGTCCGTGAAGAGTGAAATGTTGTTCATTCGCTGGTCATCGGCACCCAGCGTTAGGTTCTTCAGAAAGTGCCGATACAGTGACACTTGTATGTCGGACAGCCGTACCAGGATCACATACTCGTGCTTCGGAGGAAGGTATGGAGCCAGGGCAGTCTTGTCACAGCGCTGAAAGTAAGCAATGATCCAAGTCGCATTATACTACATTTATCTAACAATGCAGAGAGCACAAGTCAACTGATGCCTACCCGCAAGCATTTCTTTTTTTTTATTCAGGTACCAGAAAAATCTGAAAGCATTCGATGGGGGTACAGAATTATGAATACTACAGTGTCACACAACTTCTTGACATAGGGACCTAAGCAGTTACAGGTTAGCAGACTGAACTACAAATGTCAGCTGCATGCACTAACTAATTAAGTGATGTCTAAAATCAAGATGTCAACATTATATCGCAGTCAAACTTCCTTATAACAAAGTGATGTATAGACTATAAATTAGTTTGTTATATTCTATATTCATCATAACAGTGCAGATATAAATTGTCTCTAATAAATCTTCAATCTACCTCACGAAAAAAATCGTAGATACATTGACATATTATTTTAGACTTCGAATCAACTATAAACATGTTAACCCTTATCTGTCTCTTTGTGACATTTCAAACTTCACACAGTGGCAGAACCTTACAAATGCACTTTTTTAGCACTGGATAACCAAAAGTTCCACAGCCTTCTAAAATGATAAAAAAAGTGTATTTTTTCATTATGGTCAATATCGTGACAGCTTTTGCATTTCTGGCTTCGCTATAAAAAAAAAATGTCACTGAAATTAAGCATAGCGACTTAACATTCGTATTGAGTTCATAATAATCTATAATTCATAATATCAGCATTCACTATACCAATAATTAGATTCACAGTACACACCTGTACAAATCCTTCAAGAAGACGGTGAAGGATATGAACCCTCTTTTTCATGAGCTGTACATCATGAGAAGTGGAGTCTGCACACTGTCCATTGGCAATAGGGTTCACAAATCGGTTGATAAACTCAGTCTTTGTTCCAAGGAGTCCTGGTTTAATAAAGCTCACCATGCAATGATCTGGAAGAAACAACCTAAGTCTAAAATGCAAATCAAAGGAGCACTGACACAATTTTGAAGAGAAATAACTTGTGGGGTTGATTTGTATGGACACACAGACATCATCTATGAAATATCAACAGATAATGTTAGATTTTATGCTTCCTTGCGAAGATGCCGATCAATTAACAACTGACGCCGAAGAATTTGTATAGCGCATCAAAAATCTCGCCAGCTTGCATGGCTACACATTGGTTGCAACAACAGGTCAATACATGACTGTCATGATACAGAGGCGCGGGAAAAAAAAGAATTCAGTGTTCACCGTGCGGGGGCGAAGAGGAAAACGAAGCGTGCGCGTGGTGTGCGGTGGTTCGAGGCAGCGCGTGCAAAGAGTCAGTTCTCGGCTGGACGTCCGGTCCGGGGAACTAGACAATGGCATCTAGGCGCTCTACCGTTCCTGCACTCCAGCTGGGCGACTGGCCCAGGGACCAGGCGAGGTTCCGCGGTGCTGGCTGCCGTCCAGAGTGGCTGTGGGTTTCGATAGCTGCGGGCCTGATGTTCCTGCTGCCGTTCCGGGTGGCTGGCGCGACCCCGGTGCGCTGCTGAGACGAGCGTAGTGGCGGAGAGCTGCTGCGGAGCTACCAATCAGCTACCGACTGCTGCTGCTGCGGCAGAAGGCCGTGTCACGGCGTGGTCCGATGCATGTTGAGGACGGCAACGAGCCAGACGGCGCACAGCCCACGAGCGATCGGCGCCGGCGACCCGCAAGCCACATTAAAACACGGCGAGACTTTTCTAATTTAGAGAGACATTGAGTACAGCTATAGACTGCGTATTTCTACTACATTAAGTGTTACTCTTTCATAGTTACGTTCTCTGTAAATATATTCTCGTGTGTGTGTCTGTGTGCGCATGGTTCGATTCAGTTCCTTGTTGTGTGGTCCTGGGCCCAAAACTGACACTACGTCACAATCTGGCGAGCCTGCCAGGATACCGCTCGTAGAAACATCGAAGGAAGTTATCGTCTCCTGAGTGCACATTCACAAAACTTGTTTTAATGATAGACACAGAAAGATTAGCTGCTGTTGGGGCCCAACTAGGATTGAGTGGGCCAGAATTGCGTACGTGGGTTGAGGCAGAACAGGCGAGGCGAAGAGATGAACGTGCTACTGAGAGAGAAGCGAGCAGAGAAGCAGATGAGAGAGCGAAGCAAATCCTTGAGCTAAGCTAAAGCTTCAAGAAGAAGCTCCGAGGGTAGATGCAGCAGCTGACTCTGATTCTATGGCTCAGCCGAGTAGCTCCTCTGCAGTACTGAATCCACAGAAATCGCTTCCGCTGTTCGATGAGCGACGTGATGATTTGCATGCATACTTGCAAAGATTCGAACGCGTGGCAACAGGACAAGGCTGGCTACAAGAGAAATGGGCATTAGCTGTGAGCATGTGTTTGAGTGGCGAAGCGTTGACAGTAATTGGCCGAATGACTGCCACAGATTCTCTAGACTATGAGAAAGTAAAGAAAGCCTTGTTGCAGAGGTTTCGATTCACTGCGCAAGGGTACCAAGAAAATTTCGCAAGGCACGACCAGAAGATGGAGAAACCGGGAGACAGTTAGCCGCGAGACTCTCAGGGTACTTCGACCACTGGGTTGACATGGCTGATGTGCCCAGAACATTCGATGGCCTTCGAGACTACATGCTCGTTGAACAGTTTCTCCGCTGTTGCCATCCAAAACTAACGATATTTTTGAAAGAACGTGAGTGCAAGTCACTTCAACAGCTAGCTGACGCTACTGATCGCTGCATAGAAGTGCAGAATCTGTCAAACCTGGGAAAGGATACAGACGACTCCAGAGAATTCAAGAGTCTTGATAATGCTCCCAAGAAATCACCGACAAGATGCATGCTATGCAAGCGTCTGGGACATCAAGCACATGAATGTCGGAACCCAGCTAAAGAAGCGACAAAGTGTAGAGTATGTGGAAAAATTGGCCACAAGAGCGACGAGTGCTGGAGCATGAAGGCACAGAAAGAAAAAAGTTCCGCATGTGCAGTGAACAAGAACCGTTATGGTTACCCCTCGAGTGACAACACTGGCGGAGGGCAAAAAGGAAAGAAACGTGACCCTCCTAATGCAATTGTGGATGAAAAGATACCAGTATTTCTGGTACAAGAAATGCCAGTTCTTGAAGGCAAAGTGTTGGTAAACCAGTCAGGGTTCTTCGAGATACGGGCAGTAATACTGCAATTATCCGAAGAAACCTAGTGCCAAAACAACGGTTGACCGGGAAGAGTAGCAGAGTCTTACTCATTGATGGTTCCACCATAGAAGTACCAGAGACCAAGATTTCCGTGAACACCCCATACTTTAAGGGAGAGATAACCGCACTTTGTATGGACAAGCCACTTAATGATTTGGTGTTTGGTAACCTACCAGGTGTCAGAGATCCTCACAAGCCGGATCATAAGTGGAAGCCTCCTACAGTCGACAAGAGCGACAATGCGACGCGAAACTGCAGCATGGAAGCTGAGGAGTGTCCTCACTATGTTTCCGCTACGGTTAAACCTCACGAGGACAAAATAACAGCATTGTCCGTGCCAAAAACAAAATGGTGCGACGTAACAAAAGACCAGTTGTCAGAAGAGCAACAGAACGACAAAACATTGAAAGCCGTGTTTGCCAAAGTCGGTAAAGATTTCGAGTCACCGAAAGGCCACAGTTACACGTTTCTTGAAAGAGGAGTACTTCTTTACCGACAATACTACCTTGCGACAGGCAGGACGTTGAGCCAGCTCGTCGTGCCGAAGATTTTCAGGAAGCGTATCCTTGAAGTCGGCCATGAAAGTCTTATGGCAGAGCACCAAGGCATTTGGCGCACGACAGATCGCATTTTAGCAGATTTTTACTGGCCGGATCTGCATGGCGACGTAAAACGGTTCGTCAAGTCCTGCGATAAGTGTCAGCTAACGACACCAAAAGGCGAAATTGGTGTTGCGCCTCTAGAAAGCATGCCTGTCATTCGTACGCCTTTTGAGCGTGTTGCGGTCGATTTAATCGGTCCGTTCTCACCGAAGTCGGACCGTGGCAACCGTTACATTTTAACTCTTATCGACTTTGCCACCTGATATGCAAATGCCATTGCACTCCCTGCAATTGATGCTGTGCATGTAGCTGAAGGACTGATTGAGATTTTCTCTCGAGTCGGCCTACCGAAGGAAGATCGTTACAGACCAAGGAAGAAGTTTTACAGCAGAACTCATGGGAGAGGTGGGCCGTCTTCTTGCCATCAAGTTTCTTCGAACGACCCCTACCATGCCATGGCGAATGGGCTCGTTTAGAAGTTTAATGAAATGCTGAAGATGATGCTCAAGAGGATGTGCGAGGAAAAAACCACGATTCTGGGACAGTTACCTCGCCCCACTCCTTTTTGCTTACAGAGAGGTGCCGCAAGCGAGCTTGGGCTTCTCGCCTTTTCAGCTAATTTACGGTCGTCACGTACGAGGACCGCTGAAGGAGCTGTGGAGCAATGAAGACATCGACGGTAAATTTGCACTACCTATACCTACTTGGTCGACCTTCGAAACCGCCTGGAAGAGACATGCATACTTGCGCATGATGAATTGGAAAGAGCACGCGCAAAACAAAAGACTTACTACGACCGCAAAAGCTGTCCTCGAAAGCTAAACGTCGGGGATAAAGTGTTACTTCTTTTGCAGACAGATACTAACAAACTGCTCATGCAATGGAAAGGTCCATTTGAAGTCGTCGAGCGCAAAAATGAGGTCGACTACGTTCTCGCGATAAGCGGAAAAAGAAAAATTTTCCAGATCAACATGCCCAAAAAGTACGAGGAACGCGAACCTTTACCAGTGCAGCAGGTGTGGGTCATAAACGAAGTTGAAGAGCCACCGGAAGCGAACGAGGAAATGTCAAGTGAAGAAAGCTCACATGAGATTCCTTACCCTAGGTTATTTCGTACACAGACTGCGGATGATGTGAAATTATCAGAGAATCTGAGCATTGAACAGCGTTCTGATGTGCTTGATTTATTCAAAGTATTTGAGATAATCTTTTCGGACCTTCCAGGAAAGACTGACCTAGTAGATTGCACACTACGCTTGACATCCGATAAACCTATACATGTTCCGCAGTATCCCATCCCACTAGCTCTGCGGGAAAGCATCGAGAAAGAAGTCCAAGAAATGCTAAAGTTGGGCATAATTGAAAGGTCGCAGTCACCATACCATGCTCCCATCGTAGTTGTCAAAAAACCTGATAACACGATTCGTTTATGCGTCGACTTCAGAGAGCTAAATAAAATCTTGATTGCGGACGGTGAACCAATACCGCGTATAGACGTGGTTCTTGCCCTTGCTGGTCAATGCGAATTCTTCTCAAAATTTGACTTCACCAAGGGCTACTGGCAAGTGCCCATGGCTGTGGACAGCCGGGAAAAAACAGCCTTTTCCAGTATATCTGGACTATACCTTTTTGTGTTCATGCCCTTTGGCATAAAGACAGCTCCGGCTGTTTTCGCACGCCTCATGTGAGCTGTTCTAGGTGATATAGAAAATGTTTATCACTATTTTGACAATGTAGTCATTGCTACAAACACGTGGCCTGAACATTTGGTCACTCTACGGCGAGTATTTGACCGAATACAACGCGCCAATTTAACCATCAAGCCAAGTAAATGTGAGATAGGAGAGCAAACCATCTGTTTTCTTGGCCATCAAATCGGAGATGGTAAAGTTGAACCTCTCCTGAAAACCCTTAATAACGTACTCGCAACTACAAGGCCAAAGACAAAGAAAGCCCTGCAGTCTTTCCTGGGTCTAACGGACTATTACAGGAAATTTATCACAAACTCCGCTGAGATCACCAAGCCTTTGACTGACCTCACACGGAAAGGGCAGAGAAATACCATCGCGTGGGGACCTTCTAAAGAAGAAGCTTTCACTATTTTGAAGAACAAGCTTGGAGATACTCCCATTCTACAAGCACCCAACATGACAAAGG